TAAATTTATAATTTAAATTGTATTAAATTATAAAATAAAAATTTTTTTAAAAAAAACGACCCTCCAATGTCATCATAGAATTTTTGTGTTTGCGCTTTAAATTGTGAAATAGGTTTTCAAATCATAATTGCATAAAAAAAAGGCCATTGTCTCTGCCCTCTGGAAACTGCATACTAAACTAAGATGTTGCACAAATTTTACATAGAAAATAATTGGTACATATGATACTTTTTAATATTTATTTAGTTTAATAATTAAAAATATAATATTAGTTAATTTTTATATTTTATAAGTATAGTTGTATTTTTAAATTTATTTAATTATAGTTTAAAATAAAAAATAATAATTTTTTTTATAAGTATATTATATAATGTATTAAATTGAAATATGCATTAATCAGTAACTAATTTCCATATCAACACCTTTATTGGAGGAAACAACTCTTTTGTTTCTCTTTGGCAGTTTAGTTATGTTTATACTTTATACACCTTTTAATTGGCTTTGCTTTTATACCTTGTTCTGGGAGTGCACACCTTGTGCCTTCCCTGCTTTAATTAATTGCGTTTTAATTTATGGATAAAAAAAGAGTTTATCTGACTTGTATACAGATTAAAGATATAATAAATATAATTTTTTATAATTAATTTATATAAAAATAATAAATTTTAATTTTAATATTATTATTACGTAAATAATTTTAATAGTTAATTAATTAAATTTAAATTAATTTTTTATCAATTTTTATATAAATTAATTATAAAATGATGCATTTATTACACTCTTAATTTATGTCAGACACAAAATAAAAAAATCCAAAAACATTCAATAGCCACGTGGCACATGACAGTCGTATGATCAAGTAAACACAGATTTTTTTTTTGAAATAAATTTATTTTAGTTGCAAGTAGTTAGTGATTTCATAGAATTTATCATTAATTTATAGTAATTAACAAATATTTTTTAAAATAATGGTCAAAATTATGAGAAAATTTATCATTCTATTAAATGTTATTAAAGACAATTAAAAAATATATATAAAATACAAAGAAAACTTCAAAAAGATTATATATATAGAAGACACCGCAATAAACACCGTAACAACTAAAGGAAATTGAATTAAAGTCAATATTTTTTTATCAAAATAATGATTACTACACTTTTTAGTTTGATATTTTTTTATGGATTTTATTAACACATGTGTCATAAAGCACACGGTTGAGAGTGCTTTTTTCAAATAAATTTACATAGGAAAATATAAAAATAATTAAATATTAATTTTAGAGTTAATGTTACATGAATAAATTTAATTGGACAGTTAATAAATTAAATATTACATTTTATTTTTTCAAGACTCTTGGTCATAAGTTAAAAAAATCATTTTTTATATGTTTAGTTTAATTATTAAAATATAATATAAATATAATTAATTTTTTTAATTTTTGTATGTTATATGTATGATTATATCTTTAAATTTATTTTTTTATTTTAAATAAAATAATAATGATTTTCTAATAAATATATTATATAATATATTACATAGAAGAATATATCAATTAAAATTAAATTTTTTCCATCAAGGTATCATTTTTGCTGCAGCATATGTTCTCTTTTAATATGGTGACTTTGTTTGCTTGAATATTTAAAATTAAGACAATGAATGCATGTGAAACTTAAGATTTAAGAGGCAAATGAGCGAGCGAAATGTTAAAGAAGACAAGAGAATCACGAAAGAAGAGAATATTTAAAATTGTTAAGGAAGATAATGACTTTATAGGAAATTGAGAAGAGGTTGGAGATTGGATTTTGGAGTTCTTTAATAATCGGGAATTTTTTTTAATAGTCTGATATATTTCAAAAGTACAATAACTTTACATAATACCGTAATAGATCGATATTCTAACAATTTCTCAAATAATTAATAAATACTTCCACCATTTTAAATCAGTTGGTCTTAATTTGACATTTGTAATTGAGTTTTTAACGAATTTTTTTATATAATATTCTCCTCTTTTTTTTCAAAATATAAGTCATATAATTTTTTTTATATGTAACTATAAATAATATATTTTTTTATAATATATGAATGAGAATTGAGATCTTTTTCTCTTTTCTTTTTTATACATAATTCTTATTTATTAGTATTATTCAATAAAAAAATAATTATTCTTTAATATTATAAAAAGTATTATTTAAAAATAAGTGTAAAAAAAATCAAAAACCTTATATCTTGAAATAGAAAGAGTACTTGAATAATAATTAATTTTAAATAAATAATTTTTAATAAGCACTTTTACTTAATTAAAGATAAATTTTAATTATTATTTATATACTATATAAAAAAGTCAAGTCAAAGACCAACAATAAAAGTCAAATTAAGATAACTAATTTAAATGACAGAAATATTTAAAAAGTCTAGGATGCTATTCGATTTTTTTAAGTGCTGACTTCCCTATTTGATTTTCTTCAAAAGATTAGGAGCGAGCACCTCTTGCCAATGAGAATTTGAAATATCAACCACTTGATAATCTGGATAAAATAAATTTAATTTTTTTAAAGTAAAATTTTTAATTTAAATTTTTTGAATGAAAAAATAAGTATTGTAATAACTTTTTTTTATTGAGTCCGATGCAATTCGACTTTAAATTAATTAAAATTTAATATGAATTTAAGATATTAAAAGATTATTATAGAAAAAAGAAAAAAGAAAAAAGAAAAAAGAAATTGATATGTCATTCGAATGAGACCATATACTTACTGAGAACGTTATGTTGATTAGGTGAGTGAGAAACTAAGAAAGTGAACCACTTCTACTTGAATATCAACATCTAATTGATTTTTACGTTTGAGTTGTGAGCTCAGGGATGAGGTAGATAATCTAATGGAAGATAACTGTCATTTATTATGCGATATAAAATCAACATTAAAAAAAATAAAAAAGTTTAATTGACAAGTTATGCCACTTAAAGCATAAAACATTTGTATTTTTAAATATATATATGATTTCACTAATTTTATTTATTTGTAGATTTGGTTCGAATATTTAAAAATATCAAATATTAATTTTAAATATCTACTAACAATTATAATTCTTAGAGAATATTTTTGTAATATGGTAGTTATCTCTTATTTGTAAAAGATTTCTCAACGTTTAAAAATAAAACAATTATAATTATTAACTATTCGTTAGAGTAAAATCAAATAAAGCAATAAACTTTTTTTTGTTTTGGAGAATGAATTTTAGAAGTTGTGCGTGGATCTCCCAGTACGATGAAAACTCGAAAACAAAATGGATCAAGTTACAGAGTGGGGAATTACAACTGATTCATGGAAATCATCCGGGGAGGGCTGAGGAGTCTATAAGCGCCATGAAACCCACATCCTAACAGCGGCGGGACATCTTCAGTGCCACCTTCCTCAATCAGGAACAACACCTTGCAAAACAAATCAACGCTGCATGGGAGCACCAGAGGCCCTTGGCTGTTAAACCCGTATTCCGACTCTGCTTCTTCCAGCAGTACCATGAACAGGGGATGGTTCGCATGCTCTGCTTTGATCATGAACCTCTGTTTCTCCGGTCCGACGTAGACTGAGAAGCACCCTTTTTCTGTAGCCACTCGACGCTTCCGAGGATGTTTCCGATCACGATCTTCCGGAGTTCCGCATGCATCCATCGCCCGAGGCCATGATTTGCTTTTCTTCTTCAGAGTTGCGTTTTCCATGGTGGAACTTTTCCGGACGCGGCCAATGGATTTGCATCGCTCCCACGTCTTGATGATCAAGTTACCTGATACTGACTTTTTTCCTTTTCCTCCGCTAAATTCCATTTTTACAGAAACTTTCTCGAGAAAAATTTATAACATCAATAGGTAGTTCCTTTTGTTCTGATGGGGTTAGGAGGGTCCGATTTGATATATATAGGCACGCAGAGACCAAGTGGGGAAGGACACACTGTGTGCCTTATTAAACAGTATAATTTATAACCCACATGTCAACGCGTGCGAGGAGAGGAATTCTTCGCAACGCTATGAAATCATCTGCTGCGGTCAGAAGAAGTAAATTCACACATCAACTTGACAAGAGATATATAATATATTGGATTACCCTTCCAGGACTTCCAAGGAATGTTAATTTGGGGTGGTTATTACATGGGGTTATTTTGTTGAAGTGATTAAAATTAAGTTAAAAATTTATTGATTTTATTTTATTTGATTATTAATAATAATTAATAATTAATAAAATAATTGATATTTCTTATTTAATAAATTAAAATTAATTTATAAATTAATATTTTTTACATAATAACTATCTATTTAAAAAAATTGTAAATATCAATCAAATTAAAGACAATTTTTATAACCTTAACAAAAAAAAATGGTGATAATAATAAAGCCCATTAATTTGACCTTGTTTGTCAGAATGTTTAATTAGTCACCACTCACCACTTACCACCTCCATTAATCAAAATTTGATTGAGACCAACGTTGATAAACATGTATAAGTGAATTTTTTCTCCTTTTTGTAACACGAGATTTTTTTTTCTCGTCTAATCACGCTTAACTATGGGGTTTTGAGAGAGATTTGGTTGGTGCATTAGTGCTCCTATAATGATATGCACCCGCGCGTGTATAACATGACTTATTGATTAAAAAAAATTAGTTAATGTCCCCGTCCTTATCCAACAGGATACCTTGATATCGCGCGTGTATAAACATGATACATGATTCAATAAGATGTTTTATTTTGGTATTTACTGTTAGTGTTTTTGGATCAAATTTCATTGCATTCATTTCCTTTTTGATGTTTTTAATGATACATTTTCACATTGATCTGGTGATTAGTGTACTTAAATAAATCAATTCTCTTAAAATATTGATTTTAGAACTTGAATTCCAAGTATAATTTGTAAGAACAAATGATGGTAAAATGTCTAGTATCTTTATTAATCAATATCAAGTCAATCTTTTTCAATATTAATATTTTGAATTTCCATAAAAAATATATTTTTAAATTGTAAATGAAAATTATATTCAATTAGCACAAAAGATAATCCTGCCTTGTGATATGTATGTTGTTTTGTTATTCCAATAACGCGGCAGCTCTATCATTACATTCCTGTAACCGTTCATTAACCTACGTACCATCCATTTGCGTTAACCAATACCATCCTTGGACTGTTTCATAGGTTCAGTAGGATTAAGAAGCCAATCTAACATGCTCGCACGCAATCCAGGCGGCCTTCCTTCCTGCTTTCAACCAATCCAGAGACCTGATTTGTATACATTCAAATCTTCTTTTTCATGTCTGGTCTTCAAACAAACAGATATGCTGTTCAAATTCACCCAGAATGTTCCGCCTCACACTAGTTACCCCCACCATTTCAAACATTTCTCCATTACTTCAACAGCAAACTTACAGTGGATGAAATAAATGATGTGTAGTTTCGCTTTTTCATCCTTACATACCTCACAAGAAGTCGTGTTATAATATATCTAGCATAATTTCTTATTCGAAAAGATTAAATTCAGGTGGGATTTTATCTTGAACCACCTGTCAAACAAATGCATTAACCTTATTTGGAATGGTAGGATTTCAAATTCTTCTGAACACCTCAAAACTTGCCTCTTGATTTTGCACTAAAAATAATAATAATAATAAGAATAATAATAATAATATATACATATATATATATATGCCGATTATGTTGAATAATCTCTTTCGCCACCATCCTTCCATTCCCACCTGATTTTGCTTGAGTTGAGCACAGCCACCATGTTTCTTTTGAATTTTCATAAAAAGTATTAATATTTTGAAGAAGGATAGTGATCGGTACACTCTATATTTCAATACCCAGTTTAACACCCTCTGGTTTAGTCATTAAAAAATCACTATTTTTTAGTCTGAAATTAAAAACAGACAAGTATAATGATACAATCATGTACACAGGATATAAGAATCGACTGAATTGACTATATTTATATTATACTTTTAATAACTAAACCAAAAAATGTTAAACCAAACTTTGAATTGAAAGGTATACCAAACATTTCCCTATAAAGAAAGTTTAACAAAACAGAGAGAGAGAGAAAAAAGAAAGGGGAAGAGAAACAACACTGCAGACGCCAGAAATCAGCTTATCAAAAATTTATAACTTATAATTTTCAACAAAGGCTATATGTAGTCCGCAAAGATTGTGGCTTTAAATTCTTTTATTAGGTTTTACCATTGACTTTGGATTAAGCTGTCACACCTTATTCCATCCTTTAGTTGTAGACTTTTTCAATTTACATTTAATAATTGAACATGCTTTTATCTACGAGGGTAGCTTTCCATTTGGTGAGATTTAAACTGTTCACCTGTTCTCGACTTCAAGTCACCAACTGGCAATCACATGCATAAACAATTTGTAAATACCACCATAAATTTTTATTAGACTTGGTGGCACACTATAACCTTAGATTGGGAAGACCTTAGTTCCCTGACCTTAAAGTTTTTACTAATGGTAAGATAGTAGCTTTTCAGTGACTCAAGGAGGTGAGTTTGATCTAGATCACAATTACCCCTCGTCTATGCAAGATAAACCCTATAACTTACCTAATATAATAGTTTAAAGTCTAGCCACTATTTATAGTTTTGAGTTAACCCGCTA